CCTTACTTCTTCACCAGTCCTCACAATATTTCGAGAAGGTGAACCTATAGAATTATTTACCGATGCTAGTAGCCTCGGCTTTGGGGCAATACTAATTCAGATCATTAACGGTCGACAACATGCCGTAGCCTACTTTAGTATGCGTACCACGGACGCTGAGAGTAGGTACCATTCATATGAACTAGAGACGCTGGCAGTAGTTCGCGCCATTAAACACTTCCGACATTTTCTGTACGGACGTAAATTTAAAGTGATCACGGACTGCAATGCACTAAGAGCTTCAAAGCACAAACAAGACCTTCTCCCTCGCATACACCGGTGGTGGTCCTATCTCCAAAATTTTGAATTTGACATAGAATACAGAAAAGGTGAACGAATGCAACATGCTGATTTCCTTAGCAGAAATCCGCTCTCGCTGAATGTTAATGTTATGACAAGAAACTTGGAATGGCTTAACGTAGAACAGCGACGAGATGCCCAGCTCCGTCCTGTCATAGACTCTTTACACAACGGTGATATCGTTCCAGGATATTTGCTTGAAAGTAACGTTCTTAAGCGTGAAAGATCAGATCCGATTTTAGGTGTACAAAAATTGACTGTAGTACCAAAGTCCTTTCAGTGGAGCCTAATAAACACATACCACACTGCCCTCAAGCACCCAGGATGGGAGAAAACTCTTCATAAAATTAGAGAGACTTACTACTTTGAGAATATGACTACAATCATCCGAGATTTTGTAAATAACTGTGTTATCTGCAGAACATCGAAGCAAACATCTGGAGCAACGCAAGTACAAATGCATCCAATTTCAAAGCCTACTATGCCATTTGAAGTTATACATATGGATGCTACAGGAAAGCTTGGCACACCTAATGATCAGGAATATGTCATTGTGACCATAGATGCGTTCTCAAAGTATGTATTACTGCGCTATTGCAATGACAAAAGCCCACATAGCACACTTGGAGCATTAAAGCAAGTTATACATCTTTTTGGAACACCTAGGCAAATTATTGTGGATGGTGGGCGTGAATATTTAGGTGAATATAAAAATTATTGCGACAGATTTGGTATCAATATACACACTATTGCACCAGGCGTCAGCAGAGCAAACGGACAGGTAGAAAGGGTCATGTCAACTCTAAAGAACGCACTCATTATGATTAAGAATTACGAGACCCCAGAATGGCATACAGCGCTGGAGAGCTTACAACTGGCATTCAACTGTACCGTACATAGAACGACAGGTACTACTCCTCTTACACTTCTCACCCGACGATCAAACTGTGTACCCCCCGAGCTACTTAATTTGGTCAATTTTGATACCACATCCATCGATTACGATGCATTGCAATGTCATGTGCAACAAAGGATGACCGAGGCGTCAGCAAAAGACAAACTCAGGTTTGATAAAGGACGGGCTAAGGTACATAACTTCCAACGGGGAGACTTCGTTTTAATAAAAAATAATCCCAGAAACCAGACTTCGTTGGACCTCAAGTTTAGCGTGCCCTATGAAATTCATCGAGTGCTCGTTAACGACAGATACCTCGTGAAGAAAGTTGTCAGTCACCATGGTCGGCCCCGTAAAGTCGCGCATGACCAGTTACGACGTGCCCCACAACCGGGTGCAGTCGTAAACCCCCAGGCGGCCGTGTCGCCCACAGACAGGGACGAGCATCAAGGAGCATCCGGCATTGTTAATACGCTGGAGACAGCACCATCACCAACCCAATCTGCGTCAAAACTAGTTAGTGCTAGTACAGACAAGAACCACTCAATAGTCGATTAAAGGAACACAGGAAGCTATGGATTCCATCCTGGTGACAACCTTTCATGTTATATTCTTACTTAACAATCACACATACATTATTACGTAGCATATTTAAAAAAAAAGATGTTATTGACGTGTTGAGTCGTACAATAACCAAATACAATGTTAAAGATGTTATTGGCGTGTGGAGCCGGCCAATAACCAAATTTATTTTATAACTGTTTCATGTGGAATGAGCAGTTACATAATAACCAAATGTATTATAATAATAAAAGATGTTATTGGCGTGTGGAGGCGACCAATGACCAAATTTATTTTATAGCTGTTGTCATGTGGAATGAGCAGTTACAATATTAACCTAACTACACATATCTCGTACAGGCTGTGCCCGCGTAGTGAACAGCTTAAACTTTGTGCTTAGGTTTACTACTGAAGTACCTAGCCTCAAAAATATTTCTATAATTTATTTCAGAAACAACTACACAAGAAAGATTAAGCGCTGCAGGGCACGCATCGCATATCAGAATGGCCGTGTCCGCCGCACGTGCTTCGGTCTTCAAATGAAATCTTAATTAATGATTTAATGCATTGTTACCTAGTAATATTTGTAATTTAATTATTCCACGTAAAATAAATACTAGTGAAATAGTTATTACATTATTTTAAAAGCTCAATTATAAATATTTTAAATGTAGTTGTTTTGACTATCCTGTAATCATTATTGCATTCGAGTTTCAACTGAGTAATAATTGTTTAATAATTAGCAATCATTGTGTTCTAATCTTAAGAAATTCTGTCTTTAATTATTAGTAACTACAGGCTTACTATGAGTTCAGACAATAAACTCTTTATACTTAGATTTAGATTAAAAGTAGTTAAACTGATTTAAACCTGAACGCCATTGGCCCGCGCATCTTTACGACCGCGCGGAAGTGATGGCGTTGTGCACCTTTACCGAAAAATAATTGGAACGGTCATTCTTTGGTCCGCGCTTGAGGTGTTAAGGTCGAAAGCAAATACTGTAAGTAATTTAAGCTTTGAATAAGTAAATAGTGTTATTATTTCTGTTTATTATTGATTACTGTGAACTTTATTATATTTCTGTGTAACAAACTGTTCTAATTAGAAATAATAAGTTGGAATTGCTGTTTTATTGTGGTGTGATAGTGATTTGTCATGAATAAACTCAATAGCAGAACCGATGACTCCGATGGAGTTCATGGTTCTGCTCATTTTAATATTCGTAATGGACGTCAAAATCCGACATATACAATACAATCATTTATTTAACTTATTATAATAATTTGTTTATTTACTATAATCTATTCAATAACCAAATTTAATACTTAAAAATAAAATAAAAATAACGTTTATCATTAATTTTCGTCTTCATACCGCTTTTTACTGGCTATTTCTGTAAACATTTTATATTAAATTTGTAACAATTTTTTGTGCGTAAATACCTATTATTTAATCAGTGGAAAGTTTATTACGTTGTTTAGTTTTCATCAAATTGATGGATGAACATATTTGAATATATGTATCTTGTTTGGAACAAGTGGATTTGTTAAGATAATGTTTTATCTATAAGCAAATTATCAATGGCATTTGCTCCGTAATAGACATATTTAATATTAAGAATACGTACATAGATTTTGTGTTAAAGGTTTAGTTTAGTGTTGCCGTATTTAGAATATTACTTTTCAATTTTATTTATGAATATTATTTTACATTAGTTGAAAATGTGAAAAAATCGGGAGACACGATCACTAAATCGACATATCGGGAGACAATAACCAAAATCAGTAGATCTCCCGATAAATCGGAAACTTTTGCAACACTGGTCAACATATTCGGTAGAATCTATCTCTGTATAATAGCTTGATCTTTTTGATAGATGTCAAAGAACAATGGCAGACTTTCATACATAAAATTAGTTGAGAAGGAATGGTAGCGTCTATATATCAATAATATTTCAGAATGTTAAGCGTCACTCCCTTAATAACTCTGTCAAAGAAATTTGTCCTGAGAAGGCGTCAAAAAAAAAAGATTAAGATTTGAACTTTTTAAATTTATGTCTTATGTATGTTTGTTTGAACGTAGCTTAACAAATTCTCAACATAATGTATCTACCTACATAATTGAGAGTTTTTAGATTATTGTATCTCTATTATATATTTGCATACTGTAAATGTATATTCCTAGCATGGCTCCAGGGCATTTGTGTCATACAATGACATTTCAGAAGGGCTAGAACCCAGAGTCGTAAAGTCTGTAAAAAAATACAGTGACATTTTGTTTTAGCTAGTGTTGCCATAACATTAAATGGACTTGTTACATAGTACTACGATTGAGATATTGAATTATTGTAGGAAGTTCTTTGTAAGAGACTTATTTTCAGCCATATCACTTTTATTTTTATTATTAGTGATAGTATAGTTATTATTAATAATAACTTAATATAAAAATATTTTGTGCTTGTGTGTTGTGTTGGCAGTCTTACAAAGAATATGCGAAAATAGTATGAATTGATTGATTGATGAATGAATTAATTTATTTTGTATAGTTTAAAACATACATACAGTCACATCATCTCATCACAGTTACAAGTACCTATATAAAAACGTTATTTTTGAAATACTGGATATTTTCTGTTTCCCATCACTAGACCCATCTGTCAAAAAGATCAACCTATGTTGTACAGGGTCTGTGGTCTGTGAACACCATAGATAAATAAATATGTAGCAAGTTATAACTGTCTGTCTGTCTGTCTGTCTGTGAACCCCAGTAAACACTCACTCACTCACACACTGTAATATATTATCTATGGACACACACCTACATCCTACATATCTATCATAGAGAAAAGTAATACATCAGGAAATATCTATTTATCTATGCCATACACTACAACCATCAACCAGACAAAAGTGATTATGATTATGATAATTAATAATTATATAAAATAAGTATGTATAGTAATTTATTTCGATAAATAAAGATCAATTGTCTAGAAGGAATACACTACTCTCTAATGAGTTACGAGAGAATTGTGTCGTAAATAAATAGTTATGAAGGTAAAACTTAAAACTCAGTGATTTAATTAATCTCTGTAGCATTTGATGATATCAACTCTTGTTTGTGTCGTGGTCTCGTGGTGAGTTAAATAGTTCAGTGATTTATTTGAACGTCCTGAAGCAGAAGAAAACTGGTTAACAACTGCACAATGTGGGAAGACATTATAGAATATTTGAAAGATCCATTATTGGTAATAAAAGTGCAGAACTTTTTCGGTGTTATTTACAAAAATATATCTACCGAAGACTCTAGTGAAGTTGTATACTCGGAGAGGTTAGAGAAGAAGACTGAGGAATTTGATATTAAACAACACAAAAGGATACCCAGTAATTTATCAAGTAGTTCACAGTCCTCATATGACACAGATACATCTGGAGAAAGTACTGGGAAAGATGAAGTTGTGTGCCACATTAGCAATAAGTTCTGGTATTGGTTGTTTGTTCTGGGCACTGCTCTTGGTGATGAAATATTTTACGCTACATTCATACCCTTTTGGTTCTGGAACATAGATGGAGCTGTCGGAAGAAGGGTTGTCCTAGTGTGGACTGTTGTCATGTATATAGGTATAGTATATACTTGTCTATCAAATTAGATATGCATCACAATGCATCACTGTAATGAATAGTGATACATATCTTTTGGTCAAAAGATATGTACCACTCATATGTATCACAAGTTCATTTCATTCAATAGCTCCACCGACAATGTTTTGATAAACTGTAGTTAAACATAGATTGCCTCGTATGGAGGACATTGCCATATTTGCCACATTTGTTATTAGAAAGATGCTGCTGCCCCTCATCTGGTTTGTTTCCCTTTGTTGCCTTTTACAACACCCATGGGGCATTTTTTTTTAATAGGATAAGGGTGACAGACTACCACAGTCCACCTGATAGTAAGTGGTTGCTGCGGCCCATAAACATCTACATCTATCTTCAATTAAAAATCAAAATGCAGATGCGTTGTCACCCGTGAGGACTAAGATGGAATGCCTCATTTCCAGTAAAAAGGGTCTTCGGTTCTCTACACTCACCATACGAAACACAGCAGCGTAAAGCTTCTATTTTACGTTGGTATTCTGTGAGAGCGTGGTCCTTCCCCGGTCGAGCCGACCCATTCATGCTACATCTATACTAATAATATAGCTGCAGCATGGCTCTACCACGTAATTATAGGTTACTGGATATTCTTATACTGCCATTATACACTATTTATTTAAAAGAGAGCAAAAATAGACCTGAATTGATTATATAATTTTGCATGATATATACACCGAGTGCTGACTGAATTATTTGGTGATACACTTAGATATACTGATTCATTTTGAGTGTGATTGAATGAGACATGGATAGATTGATTGTAAATTAACTAGTTCACTTGGATGACTTGCAAATCATATCTAATCAGATCCTATTCAATCACAACATTATATGGAACATAACATTTTTGTTTAGATCAGATTTTTTAAGAATGTTTTATCCTATACTCTTGTATGTTTACTTATGGGAAGACATTTCTAGTTTCTAGTCACCAAAATTTTGAATATAGTGGTAATGTGATATTTAGAAATTTTCTACATGACTTAGTGCATAACAAATATCTAAAAAATATTTTTAATTTTCATTAGCATACACAAAATGACGGAGATTATTTAAGAATGATTATTTAGCTATTTGTGGTTAACAGGTTTTCGTGATTACCCAATTTTTTTGTTGTCTAAATAGCAAAATAAAATACATTTTTCTTTTTCTTCATTATGTGTACTGTTACAGCCTATTAAAGTCCACTGCTGAAGATAGGTCTCCCTCATAGATTGCCTCTTAGGGGGGGATATTTGACTTAGTTGCCACGCTTGGCAAACTGGTTGGCAACTGCAGTGTTTTAGTTTTAATAACAATTTATTAGGAAGTTGCTGTCCATTCCTGATTTATTTTCCCTCTGTTGCCTCCTACAATACCAACGGGATATGTGGTAGTGGATATTCTTACACTGTAACTACACTGTGTTTATTACTACTACACTATACTGTCTACATTATGTTAAACATTACTTTATTAAAATTACCTTGTGTTTACTAAGGAACTAGCTGACCAGGCAAATTTCGTACCGCCTAACAGTTGATTCTTTAATTTTTTATTTTTTTTATACTTATTCTTCTATTTGGGACACCTGGTCAGCTTGTAAGGTAAAAAAAGAAAAAAGAAAGTTGATAAGTCAGAAATTACATTATGTCAAAAAATAAAAATTATAAAACACTTAAAATTCTTTTAATAGTCACTAAAAATCACAGTGAAAATTACAATTTCTGATTTCTTATTATGATACCTACTTATTATTGCATCCCTTAAGCGAAAACGCAAGGTATGTTCTACTATCGCCTAAAAATTAAGATTCCAACTTTTTATCGAATGTAATCGTATCTAGCAATCATATTATTCATATAAATGATATAAAAAGCACATTGTTAGAAAGATAAATGATTGTTGAACTTATTAATATTTTTTTTAAATAGATTAATTGCTATTTTTACATAAAAAAAGGGTTTTAGTGGCTTCTGGTGTGGATTTATCAAGTCCGCAAGGCTTGTAAACACGATAACTTTTGAAAATATCAATTGTTTAACTCAATCTATTTTTTAATCTCTTCATCTATCATGTGGGAAGCCACTGAATGTAAATGGCAGTGTAGTTTTGTTTTGTTTAGCTATAATTAATTTTTTTCGGCTCCAAAATGGCGATATTTTCGTTGATTTGGTAGCCTTGTATGTAAATTATTTCTGTAAATAGGCGGAAGCCGCACTCTGAGCTACAGCCACAGAGTACTTTACTCACTCACTCAGTTCGGCGTCAGTCGCCGTCTTGAGTGGACATTGTTTCGGTTATTTGTAACCGCTCAAAAAGATCGCTGAACAAATACACAATATTTAAATAACCAAATTTCTTAAATACTTGATTATAATAATAATGAGAGATTTTTTTTTACAATATTTTAAAAGCACAGAATAAATAATAGTAGTACGTACTAAAAGTAAGTAGTATCAATTTTTTTTTGTCATGGGTGACATTTTCATGGTTTTCGAGAGTGTTGAAACCGATAGGGTTGTCGAAATGTAAATCCAAGGTGGCGGCTGCAATAGGTATCAATATTTTCATCATGGGTGTCATTCTCATGTTTTCGCGGGTGTTGAAGCCGATAGTGCTGTCGAAATGTAAATCCAAGGTGGCGGCTGCAATAGGTATCAATTTTTTCATCATGGGTGTCATTTTCATGGTTTTCGAGGGTGTTGAAGCCGATAGTGCTGTCGAAATGTATTTACACTACTTTAAAAAATTCCGTATAATCATGTTATACGTAATTTTTTTAATGCGCTTAAGGCATGCTCAATTGGATTTATCAATTTTTACAATATTTTATTTTATTTTTACTTATTCAAAATTAACTTTTCATCGTATAAATATTGACAAATATTTCTACAATACGATATGATACAATATAATATTTATACGATACTGATGTCACTCATTTGTTTTGCCTACCCGGAACCCCTACACTAACACTTAAACTTTATATTATGGTATTAAAGTTCAAATTGACTTTTAAGTATTATTACGAATCTTTTGTATGGGAATATAGACAAGTGTTGTTTTTAGACTTTCAGACAATTTCTTAAATTTTTGTCTCCGTAAGAACCATCTTCGTACTTATATTACAGATAGACTTCATTTTTATATTATAGATGAATTAGCAAAGAGCTTCCTTGGTTGAACTCAATTACAGATGTCCATGTACTACAATAGGCATTTTCCAGCAGATTAACTGTTAGCTTCTTTATTAATATGGTATCCTAATTCTAAATGGTGTTGTATGCACTAACCACCAAACACTACCGTGGCATTTAAATTTGTTAAACAATTTTTCATTATCAATCTTACGAGTCTCAAACACAAGCTGCAAAGTAGTTCAGTGTTTTACAGGATACATTTCAGAGAGTGTATGCAGGAATTACATGACTTATTTCCTCCCTCTCCGTTGCATTGTTGGACCACCAGATGCTAGGCTGGTCTCCAGTCCTTCATTGTCGACATACTGTGCATTTGAACCAAATGGTTTGCTTTGTCTGTGTGCAGCAAATGTGTGCAGCAAGGAAGTGGAACGATTTGACAGCTTCTGTCTTTTTTTTATAGAATTAGGGTGACAAACAAGCACACAGTCCACCTGATGGTGAGTGGTTGCTGTGACCCATAGACGTCTACATCTATCCTCGATTACGTATCAAAATGTAGATGGGTTGTCACCCCTGAGGACTAAGATGGCATGCCTCGTTTCCAGTAAAAAGGGTCTCTGGTTCTTTACACTCACCATACAAAACACAGCAGCATTAAGCTGCTACTTTACGCTGGTATTCTGTGAGAGTGTGGTCCTTCCCCGGTCGAGCCGACCCATTCGTGCTACAACTATATCATTAATATAGCTACAGCATGGCTCTACCATGTATTCTGTCTTTCTATCCAATTATAATGTGGAGATTTCATCGAGGCAAGGAATAAATAGGCTTTTGTTAAGCAAAATCTAACCCATCCGCAATCCCACCAGCGCCGGCCGCCTCATGGCGGACCCATCTCGGGTGAGGATTACTCCTTCTCTTCTCCTTCTAAAGTAAGGTGCACCGGGGGACAAGGCGCGCCTTTCTCCGCGGCCTTTAATTTCACCTGTGCAACAGACCTTCCGTGTCTTATGTGTAGACGCCATGGTGCCAGAAAAATCGAACACTTGTAAGCACTAGCCTTCCTAAACCCAGCAGTCGATCTGGTCTATGGCTCCGTCGCCAACTGAGAACATAAATTCTGCAACATAAATTTGCTTTGTCACTTTTCCTCGTTCATTCTTTCTACATGACCAAACCACCGAAGCATTACCTTCTTAATCCTGGTCACAACGTCATCTGGTAAACGGCAGAGTCTGGAAGGGACGCCCTAGACGAAGGTTTATCGATCAAATTGGCGATATATTGAAAATGGGCCAAGTTAGGAGTACCCTTAACCGACGAGCGTGTATGCGTAGATATATGGATGTAAAGGAGGCGAGAGAGGTGTCAGGATCGCGCCAAATGGAAGTCCGTAGTCTTTGCCTACCCTCTGGGTGACAGGCGTGAGTGTTTATGTATGTATTATGTTCACATTCTGAAGTCGGGACTGGACCTTAATTCTATACAATGTCTTAACAGTTAAGAAGTTGGAGACTGTCGTCTTATCACCTACTTCTTACTGTAGGTATACTACATAAATTTGAAAATTATATTATTTTTTGTAGTTATATGAAGTTGGTTTTATTAGGGTTCTGTACTCAAAGGGTAACCAACGAGACCCTATTACTAAGTCTCCGCTGTCCATCTATCTGTCTGTCAGTGAGCTGTATCTCATGATCCGTAATAGGTAAACAGTTGAAATTTTTACAAAATGTGTATTTCTGTGGTCTCTATAACAACAAATAATAAATATAAATTAAAAAGTTAAAGGGGGCTCCTCAACTAGAAACGTGTTCTTTACTTACATAATATTAAATCTTGTACGATGGTACGGAACCTTTCATGCGCGAGTCCGACTCGCACTTGACCGGTTTTTATTTTCTACTGACTTCAAAAAGGAGACGGTACTCAATTCCAATGTATGTCTTTTTTTCTTTTTTTATGTGTGTTACGTCATAACATTTTTCTTGGTGAACCAAGTTTCATGATTTCTTTTTTATTTGAAAGCTGGTGCTTCTCATGTTGTTCCATATAAATTTGATCAAGGTCTGACCAACAGTTTTTGAGTTATTCTTAATAATTTATATTTATATACTGTTCCCATCTCTCGACACGGGCTCCTGAGTGCCAGCTCCTTCCACTTGACCGCATTCAGCGCAAAGCGGTTCGGATCATCGACGACAGAGTTCTTTCCGATCGGCTTGACTCGCTGGCATTGCGAAGAAATGTTGCATCTCTTTGCGTATTTTATCGCATCCATCACGGGGAGTGCTCTGAGGAATTGTTCGCATATCGCGACAAAACTCGCGATACCATCCATACCATCTGGATGATTGACGGTCCACCACTGTGCGATTTAGAAGAAGTTTTCTCCTTCGCATAACTTCCTTATGGAATCGATTACCACCAGCGATTTTTCCGGACCGATACGACTTAGGGACCTTGAAGAAAAGAGCCTACTCCTTTTTTAAAGGCCGGCAACGCATCTGCAATTCCCCTGGTGTTGCGGTTGTTCATGGGCGGCGGTAGTCACTTACCATGAGGTGAGCCGCATGCTCGTTTGCCCCTTACCCTATAAAAAAAAATTGAAGTCGGTTGTACGAAATTTTAAATTATTTATTAATAGTTTAATTTCCATGACTAACTATTAGTCAATAAATGGTAGATATTAATCAAGTATGTGAAGTCAATGACTAATAAATGTGACGCATTTTTATCTTAAAAGTTATCTATTCGAAAAGACGATTAATATATTTGTAATGAAATGTAGATATGTTCCCTTACGTGGTTGACCTACAATGATTATCACCTAATCAGTTAACATTCCAGCAGTGCATTTTTTTCGTACCACTAATTAATACAGCTGTTATCTTCCATTATTCAATTATTTCCTGTATAAGGAGCGTGGTGTAAACTGTACAGTGTACATTGATGGATATCATACTCTCAAGCTGACTGCCTCATTGATCATGAGGTTCCGTGTTCGAATCCGTGGTCGGGCCAAAATCAGTCAAGAAATTCTCAGTAGCAGCCCGGCTCAACGTTAGGAATTTGGAGGTGTTTCACTCACCCCATGCCTCGGAAAGCAAGTTAAGCCGTTGGTCCTGCTCTTGATCCCTCGCCTCTCCGATCGTGTCGAGTTATCGTCCCATCGCACTATGAGAGTGAGGAAATAGAGCGCACCTGTGCTTGTGCATACACTTGGACACTATAGTCCTACGCAGGTGGCTAGACCCCGTTGAAGACTGGCCGGAGGACGTTATTATTATTACTCTCAAGCAATGAGCATATGACGTAATTTTTTTTATAGGATAGAGTGTCAAACGAGCACACAGTCCACCTGATGGTAAGTGGCTGCTGTGACCCATAGACATCTACATTTATCCTCAACAAAGAATCAAAATACAGATGAGTCGCCACCCGTGAGGACTAAGATGGAATGCCTCTTTTCCATTAAAATGGGTCTCCGTTTCTCTACACTCAATATTTCATATGGTGTCAAGTTGCTTTTACGCTGGTATTCTGCGAAAGCGTGGTCCTTCCCCGGTCGAGCCGACCCATTCGTGCTACAACTATACTACCTACTAATATAGCTGCAGCATGGCTCTACCACGTATAAAATAATACTTGGTTTCCATTGAAAATCGTTTTTCTGCCGACTTCCAAAAAGGAGACGGTACTCAATTCGACTGTATGTTTTTTTTTATGTGTACACTATGTGTCTATGCAAGATGGATGCATGAGGTCATCTATATGAGTCTATATGTCTTTAGTTTTATATTCTTGTGATAAAAATTGATAAACAATTTGATGAGTTACAAGTCAAACCCAAGGGCGTTTGACTTTTTAATAATGTGATCACGTGCTGGGGAGGACATTGCGTAAACCTATGAGCACAACATGACCTTCCAGCATGCGCACGTCTTATGGAAAACAATGATGTCTAGCGAAAAACCTAGAAAAACTTCTGATACATTAAATTATACGCGCATTCTATATATTTTTATTATAATTTCGTGAAATGGCTGTTAACGTCGTAGTCGTAGGAAAAGAAACTAATTGTGACATTTTTCGTGCCCACACTACTAATAGTAATTATTAATGGTATTACAAATAAAACAACAAATCAATTTATTATAATAAATGGGCTAAAGGTTATATGAAAGTGCCGGAATCATGAAATCTTAATAAAATTGAAATATTTTGATATTCCTGTTTCCAAACAATGTAAAGACAAAAAAATTGACGGCTCCGTGGCGCAGTGGCTTAGCAATCAGTTGTTGCGCTGGGGGCCGCGGGTTCGAATCTCGCACGGAACAAGTATTTGTATGGCCTACAAATAATTGTTCCGGGTCTGGATGTTTGTCCTTGTGCAATTTATGTTTGTAAACTGCATCCACGACACAGGAGAAAATCCTAGTGTCGGGGTAACGTTTTTTTAAAAAAAAAACCAATGTAAAGGGAAAAAAATAATTAAAACTTCACTTTTCGTGTATTTGTGCACAGTTTTCGAAGTTGGAAGAAACTTATTTCATAACCGAACTCTACAAGGTGAAAGTTATTATTTCGACTTTAATTGTTTTTTTTTTAATTTATCTAACAGAAGTTAATAGAGTGATGGATTCTCTTCCGCCAGTACACAACGATAATGATGTTTTTTTTTTAGAATTATTTAGTATTTATTTCCAATTCCAGGGCAAGGTTTCAAGGACATAATCCGTTGGCCCAGACCCGGGTATCCGGTGAAGAAGTTGCAGCAGAAGTGGGCTATCGAGTACGGCATGCCGTCCACCCACGCGATGGTCGGCGTGTCCATACCATTCTCTGTGCTGTTGTACACCATGGATAGGTATCAATATCCCTTGCACTGGGGCGTGGTTATAGCGGTGTCCTGGTGCACGCTTATATGCGTTAGCCGGGTGTATCTGGGAATGCATAGTGTCCTGGTAAGTATCATTGATACTCGGTAGCGAAGTGGCTTAAAGTTTGGCAGGGTTGCAAGTGGCGCGGGATAGATTTCTGCGCGGAACAAGTACTAAAGCTATAAATAATTCTCCCGGAGCTAGATGCTTGTTCATGTGCAATTTATTTGTGTTAATCGCATCCAAGTTGCGGGAGAAGTTTCTAGTGTGGGGGTTTCCAGTTTGACGGCTCCGGGACGCAGTGAGTTACGACAGTTACAGCTAAGAGGGCCGCGGGCTCGAATCCCGTACGGAACAATTACTTGTATGGCTTACAAGTAATTGGTTCGTGTCTAGTTTTACTTGTACTATTTGTGTATGTAAACTGCGTCCGCGATACAGGTGAAATTGCATCTACCGTGGAAGTGCTCTGAGGAATTGTTCGGATTCATTTCAAGCGTCAAGTTTCAAGATTCACAACCATGCTCATGATTTGGATGCTAGGCGGTCCACCACTTTACGTTTTATTAGCAGTTTTTTTCCTCGTACAACTTCCCCGTAGAATTGTTTCATCATCATCATCATTACAGCCCTTCACAAGTCCACTGCTGAATATAGGCCTCCCCCAAGGAATGCCACAAAGCACGGTCCTGAGACACCTGCATCCATCGACCTCCTGCATATCTTATCAGGTCGTTACTCCATCTAGTGGGGGCACGCCCTACACTTCGTCCGCCGGTACGACGCCGCCACTCGAGAACCTTTTTTCCTCATCGGTAGTCGGTTCTTCGAGCTATATGACCGGCCCATTGCCACCTCAGGTTACTAATCCGTTGGGCTATGTCGGTTACTCTGGTTCTACTGCGGATATCCTCGTTTTTAAGTCTTATCACGCAGAGAAACGCCGAGCATAGCCCTCTCCATAGCCCGCTGAGCGACCTCGAGCTTCCTCATACGGCCAGCAGTGAAGGACTACGTCTTAGGTTCATAGGTCATCACTGGCAACACGCACCGGTTGTACAATCAAGTTTTGAGATTTTGAGGTATGTCTGACGAGAAGATGTTTCGTAATCTCCCGAACGCTGCCTAGCCGAGTTGAATCCGTCGACTGATCGAAGTCCTATCGGTCGAAGTTGGTCTTACCTAGTCGAACTTTTTGTCCCAGGTAAACATACTCGTCAACAACTTCGAGCTTACTGCTCCCAACAACTACCGGCATAGGTGTGACATGGACGTTATACCTACATGATGTTTGTTTTGTCCATGTTCATCTTAAGACCTATCCGTTGGGAGGCACTATGGAGGTCATTGAGCATAGTGCTTAGGTCCTCCAGCGATTCTGTCATAAGGACTATATCGTCGGCAAATCGAAAGTGAGTGATGTACTCGCCGTTGATGTTAATACCGTATTCTTTTCAATCCAGAAGCTTGAAAACGTCTTCCAATGCAGCGGTGAAGAGTTTCGGGGATATCACGTCACCCTATCTTACACTTCTCTGCAGTTCGATAGGTTCGTAAGTCGGCCACCGACTTCATGGCTTACCACCGGTGATTTTTCCGGACCGATACGACTTACGGACCTTCAAGAAAAGGGCTTACTCCTTTATCGTTCATGAGCGGCGGTAGTCACCATCAGGTGAGCCGCGTGCTTGTTTGCCCTCTCTTCTATAAATTAAAAACAAAACCTAGTATAGGGGTAATGTTTTTTTAGTATCTGCTTAAAATAGCAGCATAATGCTGCTGTGTTTCCTATTCATACATTTATGCATTTTATTCTTAGATTTAGGTGTCACGGCGCAACTACCATTTAATTCTCAATCGAGAACAGATGTAGGTGTCATCTATGAACCACAGCATCCAATCAAGGACTGTGTGCTCGTTAGTATGGAGACTTATTATTCTATAAAAAAAGTCTATTACAACACCCACGAGACGAATCGAGGCATTAGACTATTACGTCGTCCGCCACACGATAATAAAATATCTCATGAATGACTCATGAGATTTAGGAGAATTGTATCAAAATGTTAATCAGTCAGTCAGCCAGTCGTACCGGTAAGCGGGGTGTAAGGGTGGTATGATGAGTTGACAGACTGGGACACAATATCCAGGAAGTCCATGGTCTCTTATTTACGTGGTAGAGCCACATTACAGTGTACTTTGGCCCCGAAGTACCCAAGCCGCAGTTCTTGGGTCTGGACACAGCTGGGACTACATTTGTAAAGGGTTACAATCGTTTTTATGTCTAGTTGTACTACGTACTATATGATATATTGAAACACAATAATGAAGAATAATTTAAAATTAAAAATTTTGTACAACTGACTTCAATATAAATTATTAAGAATAACTCAAAAACTATTGGTCAGACCTTGATCAAATTTATATGGGACCACACGTGAAGTAACAGCTTTCAAATAAAAAAAAATCATCGAAAGCGGTTCACCCAGAAAAAAGATATGAGGTAACACACATAAAAAAATTATATATGTGGTAGAGCCATGCTGAACACGAATGGGTCGGCTCGACCGGGGAAGGACCAGGCTCTCACAGAATAGCGAGACAAGCGTAAAATGGCAACTTTTTACACTGCTGTGTTTCGTATGGTGAGTGCAGAGAACCGGAGACCCATTTTACTGGAAAAGAGGCATTCCATCTTAGTCCTCACGGGTGACGACGCATCTGCATTTTGATTCTTTATTGAGGATAAATGTAGATGTCTATGGGTCACAGCAACCACTTACCATCAGGTGGACTGTGTGCTCGTTTGTCACCCTAACCTATAAAAAAAACATAGAGTCGAATTGAGTACCCCCTTCTGTTTGAAGTCGGTAGAAAATAATCCATCTCTGGTTGTTTTCAGGACATCACGGCCGGTCTGCTGTTGTCATCAGCCCTGATGGTATTGCTGATCCCACTGGTGGACTGGCTGGACGGCATCCTGCTCACCGCACGATACTCTCCCATATTCATTTTAGCGATCTCCATCCTCGTCGTGGTGTACCATCCGCACGCCGATAAATGGACTCCAACCAGGTGTTAATTTTTTCTTAGTATCATTTATGCCCGATTCCTGTATTCGAAAATCGTTCCGTTCTATTACATACGATGTGCGTGTAAAGATAGTTTTTATTTTTATACTTAGAGACTTAAAATGAAAAAAAAAAAACTTTAAGAGATTCATAAATCCGTTGTAATACGGATTAATAAACTGAAGTGGCAATTAGCCGGCCATAGCGAAGTGTCGAGCCCCCCCGCCCCCCCTACTAGATGGAGTGATGACCTCGTAAGCTATGCCGATGGATAGAAGTCGATGGATGCAGGTGACTCATGACCGTGCTTTGTGGCATTCTTTGGGAGAAGCCTATGTTCAGCAGTGGACTTGTGAAGGGCTGTAATGATGATGATGATGATGATGGTTCATAAATAGATGAACGGGTATTTTGTTTTTAAAAATGTCATGCACTTAATTTATTGCAAAACTGCTCGTAAAACAAAACAAACGTTTTTAAATATAGAAACCCGGCATTAGAGAAGCCACACGTACTTTATAATAAACCTAGCAAGCTAACAGCATAGCAAAGTGGCGAAGCAATCAGCTTTGTAGCGGTTTCTAACGGTTGCCGTTGAGCAATCAGTTTCAAAATAGGAGGTTCAGATGCCTGGGTGATCAGTAATCGATTGCTGAAAACAGAATTTGAAAATTCAAAACCGTTCTCGAGATAATCGTGGGACAGACGGACAGACATCGTGAAATCAATAAGTGAATTCGCAAGCTTCGCTACTTAATAAAGTATAGTGCGATGTTTCGAGCATACGTGTACAACAAAGTATGTAAAAATACTTTACTTTACCTAATTAGACATTTCAAGGTTTTATTCGATCGTTTCCTAGAGGAATGGATTGCATTAATAAATGATAATGAGCCCTGATTTTTTTTTAAATCAACCCAAAACGTCAATATAATTTAATGCGTGTTTTTTTTTTAATTTGAAGTAATTTTTTACATTATCTGTCTGTCTGAACTGAATTTGGTAATGACTTTTTATAGTATTAGGGTAACAAACGAGCACACTGTCTACCTGATGGTAATTGTGTTTGTCTCCCTTAATCTATAAAAGAAGAAAAATAAAACTATTGCAGAGACAAATTGATTTGTCATCGTTCGATCGTAGAAACGAGCACACCATAATGTGCCCGGGCATTTCATGATTTGGTCAATGATTTATCTGCAATAGCACTTTTTGCCTAATTTATATAATACTAGCGATCCGCCCCGGTTTTGCACGGGTGATTTCGGGATCTCGACAACAGCGCCTCCTACCGGGTCCTATTGTGAATCCAAACCATCCAGGGAGACCCACTCAAACACATACACAAATAATTTCATCAGAATTGGTCGAGCCAGTTTCCAGTTTTAGCGAGACTAATAGACACCAATTGATTTTATATACATACTAGCTGTTCCCCGCGACTTCGTCCGCGTTCAATTAAGGTTTTTTTTTGCGCGGAACCCTAATTCTTTTTCTAAAATAAAAGTAGCCTACGTTAATCCTTATAACATCAGCTATCTACCAGTGAAAGTCCCGTCAAAATCGGTCCTGCCGTTTCGGAGATTAGTCTGAACTAACAGACAAACCAAAATTTTAAAAATTATATTTTTGTTATGAGTATCGTATATACTTTCATATGCATTTAATATACAAGGGTGGATTGAAAAGTACTCGGCCTAACACAGATCCATTCAATTCTAAAAATCAACTCTACCCACATTATTTAGTTCAGTTCAGACTAGTTCATTGTGTGAAGTTCGAAACGTGTGCGATAATTAGTTGTGATTTTATAAATTTATTAACAAAGTAATCGGACATAATTTCCGCGAATGGAGCAAATCGAGCAGCGTGCCGTCATTAAGTACATCCATAAGAAGGGGCTATCATCAAAAGCCATCCATGATGACATGGTCAGTACATTAGGCGATTGTGCTCTGTTATATTCATCCGTCAAAAAATGGATAGCAGAATTTAAGCGTGGTAGAGAGAGTGTGAAAGATGAACCCCGCTCTGGAAGGCCTTCGACGTCAACTACTGACGAAAATATTAAAAAAGTACTTGATTTAATAATGGGAGACCGCAGATTAAAAATTAGAGAGATAGCCGAGATTATAGGCATCTCTTATGAACGAACTCAAAACATCATTGTCAACGAGTTGGGTTTCCACAAGGTGTCTGCGAGGTGGGTTCCGCGACTGCTTTCAGTTGAACAAAAAAGGACGCGATTGACTATTTCACGCGACTGTTTGGTGTTATTTGAAGCCGATGCAGATGATTTTTTGAATCGTTTTGTTACTATGGACGAAACATGGGTTCATTACTGTACACCGGAAACAAAACAACAATCAAAACAGTGGAGAAGACCTGGTTCACCACCCCCTAAAAAGGCTAAGTCGATTTTGTCGGCAAATAAGGTGATGGCTTCAGTATTCTGGGACTCGAAAGGTGTGATTATGATTGATTATCTTGAAAGGGGTCAGAATATAAACTCTGATTACTACTGCACCTTACTACGTCGTTTACGAGAGGAAATAAAAGAAAAACGTCGAGGAATGCTCAGAAGAAAAGTCCTGTTTCATCAAGATAACGCCCGTGTTCACACGTCAGTACAGTCAATGGCTGAAATTCACAACTGTGGCTTTGAACTGTTACCGCATCCGCCGTATTCACCTGATTTGGCACCATCAGGCTTCTTTCTGTTCCCTAACCTAAAAAAGCACTTGGGAGGTCAAAGATTTTCGACAAACGACGAGGTCAAAGCAGCTGTAGACGCATATTTTGACTCTAAGGAAGAATCATTTTTTTTCAACGGTCTAAATGCTTGGAAGGGGAGGTGGCAAAAGTGTATTGAACTTGATGGTGATTATGTAGAAAAATAAAAATATAACTGATTTAGTATTTGTTTATTTTCTTGGTTAGGCCGAGTACTTTTCAATCCACCCTCGTAATTTAAAATTAAAAATTTTGTACAGCCGACTTCAATATAAGTTATTTAAGAATAACTTAAAAACTATTGGTCTGACCTTGATCAAATTCATATGGGACCACACGAGAAGTACCAGCTTTCAAATAAAAAAAGAATCATCGAAATCGGTTCACCCAGAAAAAAGTTCTGAGGTAACACACATAAAAAAAAACGAAAAAAAAACATACAGTCGAATTGAGTACCGGCTCCTTTTTGGAAGTCGGCAGAAAAAGCTATTATTTTGACATTACAAACAGACACTTCAATTTTATTTATTTGTATAGATTACTTTTGCAAGCATGGTGTGTGCACGTGCTTATTTATCGCTTCATATTATATAGTTTGCGTGACCCCATATTTATTACCTTCGCGTGATGTCTTGCATCGTTGCTAGAATATAATATTTTTTATTCAATATAGATTATTACGTAATACTTGTCGGGTGTAAGTCCAACAAATTGATTGGTAAAAATGGTAAAATAAGGAAGCAATTGCACAAGGATAATCATCAATACAGCCCTTCACAAGTCCACTGCTGAACATAGACCTCCCCCAAGGAATGTCACAAAGCACGGTCCAGAGCCACCTGCATCCATCGACTTCCTGCATGTCTTACCATGGTCGCCACCGTACCCAGGAATATCGGGGCCACCGGCAACTGGGGGCCGTCACTTCGTAACTTTAATCATGGGGGTATATTGCTATAGTTGCCGCGCTTCGCGAGCGGGTTGGCAACCGCAGTTTTTTATTATTGTTTTGCTGTGCAAGATCAGAAAGATGCTGCAGATCATCCTCTGCCTCAGTTTCCCTCTGTCGCCTTTTACGACACCCACGGGAAGATATGGGGTAGTGGGTATTCTTATCCGCCACTACGCGGGGTTAATGTATTAAAATAATTGGTAACACGGTAATAGTAAATGGTATGAGCTCACGCGGCGTGGTTGGTACGGATCGTGAACTGTCTTATTAGTTATTATGATATTAAAACTAAATAATTTGGGACAGTGTGTAAATGCTGACTACGCTCGCTCTGACGTAAATGCACTGAACTTCGCACAATACTCATTGAAATTTTTTTTTATCAGAAAATACTATTGTCCTACAGAACCAGCAATAATATAATATTGTATTTTTTAAACATATATAACTTTACAATAACTTTGTTCGTTTTTTGTACAAATTATAAAAGAACCAGCATGATAGCGATCATCTCATTCCCAGGGGATATTTGCTTTCATGTATTCTTTAATATTATAATAACCCTTTTGTACAATTTTTCATTAAAATTCTCGGTTCGTATTCAATATAATATTTTTTATTGGAATACTAACCGTCGCCCGTGATTTCGCTCGCATATAATTATTTTTTTCATCAACTCGTAAAAGTTTACTGCTGGAATTATAATTTTTATGAATTTGAAATGGTGCAGTGTTTCATATGGTGAATGTAGAGAACCAGAGACCCATTTTACTGGATATGAGGCATTGTATCTCTGATGTGACGAGTGACAACGCATCTGCAATGTGGTTAGAGGATAGATGTAGAAGTCTATGGGGTACAGCATCCACTTACCATCACGTCGGCTGTGTGTTAGCTTGACACCCACGATATATCATAATTTCTTATAATTACGCGACGCTCTACACTTTCAATAAAACTATTTTCTATGTACCGACTTCAAAAAGTGCGAGTTTTCGACTGCATGTTTTTTTTATGTGTGATACCTCATAACTTCTTTCTAGGTGAACCGATTTCGATGATTCTTTTTCCATTTGAAAGCTGATGCTTCTCATACGGTCCCATATAAATTTGATCAAGGCCTGACCAATAGTTTTTAAGTTATCATTAATAATTTTTATTGAAGTCGGTTGTACAAAATTTTTATATTTTTAATTATTACGAGTTTTATTTTAAAAATTAAACGCGATAAAATCCGTTTAAATAGTTTTATTCAACAATTATTCTATAAAAAAAATACATAGTCGGTAGTGAAGGAAAACATACTTTCAGTATCACCATTACATTTTTAACATATAGAAAATTTCACTAACATCGTCACCACTAACCGCAAAAATAAAAAGCAAATATAAATAAATTGTATAAATCGTCAGCTGAATTGGCGGTCAGTATTCGCAGTCTATTTCTCCTGATGATGCCTCGTTTATGGACAAAACACGTGTCGTATTATCGACGGAGCTGTGTCTTTTCTAGTGTGGTGGTGTTGGGATTGGTGGTGACGTGGTTGGGATTAGCAGACTCATTCATGCTACAACCAAAATATAGCCATTCGACTGCTGTCGTGAACCACTCCTAACAAGCATTTTAAGCTTATCACGGGTGGTTAAAATAAATATTAGTAATATTAATTAATAGGATTACTATAATTTTTTCAAAAAAAAAAGATAAAAAATAAATAGCTGTAGCGTGGCTCTACCACGTCTACTATGTGGTATATAAGCGCTTAAAATTGCAATTAAAATTCCATTGGTGCTAGATAATTCATACAGATATAAAACCTGAAAATGTGTTGGTGTGTGTTGATGAAGTCTACATTTGTAAACTAGCAGCAGAAGCAACACAGCTACGTTCCCTAGGCCTGAGGTTGCCGCATTCCCTCAGTACAGCACTAAAAGAATTTCAAGCGCTAACCCGGGTTCGCACATACAGTGGAATTGAAATGCGGGGAGCACAGACCGCCTGCTCAGCTTCCAGCCGTGATACGTATATCGCCTGTAGCTTCATTTTTACTTTACAGTTTATAAAAAGGATATTTAAATTAACATTAGTGTCTAATAAAATGTGTACGAATTAAATTCACAGAGGCGACACCACAATGATAGTGAGTGTGTGCGCCGGCATCCTGACCGGGTCGTGGACCAACTACCAGCTGGGGAACATGGTCGCGAGCTCCGCCGATCCCCCGTACGAGATCATCTGGCCCTCCATTGAGATGCTGGGCTGCACGATCCTGAGAACCATCCTGGGTTTCTGCGGTGTGCTCGCCACGAGGGCGATCGCGAAGTCCGTGTCGTACGCGTTCGTTTGCGCACTGCTGGGCAAGGACAAGAACGAGCTGCGCAACTCCGAGGACAGCCTGGACAACAAGAACAAGATAATCGTGGAGCTCTGCTACAAGTATTTCACTTGCGGCTTGATCGGCTTCAACACCACCTACGTCTTCCCCAACGTGTTCCATCTGCTGCAAATAAACAGGCCCACCTATTACACCGAAGTTTAGATACTACATTAGTTAGAAGTGTCCGACCGAAGCCTCGGCTTCGGCCTCTTTCGGCCAAAAAAACACCTTGGTCCAAACTCGGCTTCGGTCAAAATGTTTGAGAAATGTTTTTATGAAGTTTTGGATTTTGGGTCTAGTTCTATGATTAAAATTACCTTTTTATATTATGTTGTCAATATAAAGGTTTGATTTAAAAGTTTTAAAAAATCGTTTATGTTATTAATTTTAGCTAATCTTGTACTGAATTTTTTAGGGGGCTTTAAGCCTTCGGCTTCGGCCGACGGTGGTGGAGATAGCCGAATAATCGGCTTCGGCTTCGACCAGAAATCGACCTTCGGTCGGACACTACTAGCCAGAGTTAGCTTCATTGTATCGAATTCGAAATGTATTCCGAACATTCCAGTTACGAGTGAGAAATATTATAAGGTATTAATTTAATTCAATTTATTCAAGGTTATTTATTATTTATGTTAAAACGTTGCTCCCGTTTACGATCAATATATTTTGTACCTTCGGCAAAATAGAATAAGGTTTAGTTTTCATTAATCGCCTTTTTTGTGTTGCCCACTACAATAGCCGATGTAATGATGGTTTGTTACTCTTAGGGAGGTATATAACAGTCAATGGCGATACCTCTTGATACCAGTATTAAGAGTGAAAATCGAACGCAAAAATTGCGTTGTTCTATACTTAATTGTTATTTTTTTTGTAGAATAAGGGTGACAAACGAGCACACAGTCCACCTAATGGTGAGTGGATGCTGTGGCCAATATATATATCGTACGTCTATCCTCGATTAATAATTTTAATGCAGATGTATTGTCACCCCTCATAAGTAATAGAAAACCTCGTTAACAGTAAAAAGGGTTCCGTCGTTTACTATACGAAGCACAGCAGCATAAGGCTGCGTTTTCACCAGAGATGTGCGGGTAGCTGGGCGGTGCGAAGATTTGTAGCGGGATCGTTTCAGATGCGAGCGGGGTGAGGTGTGGTGGGAGCGGAGCCCTCACACACAACCCTCGCAACACATCCCTCGCACACAGCTTTCCCTTGTTTTGTACGTATGAAAACCTCGCTCCGCTGAACCGTTTCCACCAGAGCTGCGCTGAGTGAGGCTAGGTAAATGAAGTGATTATATTGGTTCTTAACAACCACCTCGCTACACATCCTTGCACATCTCTGGTGAAAACGCAGCCTTATGCTGCAATTTTACGCTCGTATTCCGAAAGAGCGAAATGATATAGCTAAAGTGTGGCTCGACTGCGTATGCAGTAATGATTAAACAGAACATGAAACTACCAATATTTCGTAGTAGTTGTTGTTCTGGTGTTATATTTATTAAACCGAAAGCTTGGTTTTGTTCTTTCGTAATGCGTACAGCAAAGGAATGGAATAATTCTCCAGCGTCTGTCTTTCCGTCCGAATGCAACCTGGGCGTCTTCAATGCAAGAGTGAATACTGACTTTTGTTACACTGAAACAGTACGATTTACCATCTAGGGGTAGGGTCACCAATTACCACCAGGTGGGATTGTAGTCAAGCACTAGCTTAAAATGAGCACAATATGTAGTAATAAACACGAAACAGTTTTTAATAACATAACGGAATAAGTATATATTTATATTGATTATTCAACTTATTAATATTATCCAGTCACAATATTTTTATTTATTGACTGTTAGAAAGCAGTTTTAGGAAGTCTAAAACTACGTCATCACATTAACAAGTCCCTACTGCTTGCAGTTTGTGAGAAGAAGCAACAAGAAATTCAAATAGACTTTCTCTCAATATTTACAATTTAAAAGCTTTTAAAAAATTTACTTCGCAAACATCAGCGCTATAAAATAAAATGATGTGTCTTACGTGAGCGGCGAGCCAAAACAACTGCCTTTTATACAGACCGCTGACACAACCGCTCCCTGTCATTCGATAAAACACGCTCACTTAACGGTGAGCCACCGTAGAGTCTACATCACCTGAGGATGCCTCCTACCCATTGCACTTGAAGGAGGTTAATGTTTTTCGAGAGTATGTATGTATATATGTATGTATTGTATGTGTGTATATTTCTCTGGCACTCTTTGTAGCCTAAACGGCTTGATGCATTTTAACTTACGCGGAGTCGTTAGATTGTTCTTAATTGTAGAAGTGACAAAGGGTACAATTTTTTCTCCTTTCTGAAAAACTTTTACCCATTCGGGTTTTATAATTGCTGTTCTAACCATTGAGCTGGTTATCAAAGATATTAAAATACTTTCTTGCATATTAAATGTCTTAAATCATTTAGGGTCAGTTCACACCGAGACGATGACGCGACGCGACGCGGCGTGCACTTTTTAAGATAGTGTTACAAAATATAACTTTATTTATTATACATAAATATACACATTTCACTGAAATAATTTGAAAATGCCCCGCTGCGCAGCGCTACGCCGCTGTCAGTATTATCGCGCGGTGTGTTGTCGCGAAGCGAGGCGTCACGCTGCAGCGACTTGACGCTGCGCCTCGCGACGTCGCGATGCGTCTGGCGGCGGCGAAACCACTCGCTTCTTCAAGCATCGTCGCGTCGCGTCTCTGTGTGTACTGACCCTTATACGTCACAAGTTAAGATTATTCCAGCTGGAGCTAACATGAACAAAAAACAAATTGTTAGCTTTAGGATCATAGTTAGGTTAGTCTCGTGCGTCTTCTTATTAGTGTATGCAATTGTGTTTTTGTCGTGGAAACGTGAGGGGGTGAGGGGGGCAAACGAGATAGTGGTTAGTTGTGGATAAAACTTGTAGAGAAAAATTCTTTGCCTGGATTTAGTGTTTAATAATAATGTTAATTGTAAAACCAAATGCACATCAATGTTATATTTACCATATTTTGTTATAAGACCGACGTTGTAGTCGATTTTGTTAAAAATTTATCTTGTTTGTTAGCTTATACTTATAAAAGCATGATTAGCAATGTGTACTACATACTAGAACAGACACAAAAAAACAAAATCTGTGCGGCAGTGCGGGCGCGCGGTCGGAGGCACGTAGTACATTTTTTTTATGGCAATGACTAAGTAATTTTAAGCCCGCGGGCTTTAACGCGTGTCAAACAACCAAGTCTTGGAGTCTCTTCTAGAACTTAGTACATATTACTTCAATCAATCAATGTCTTTGATCTATATATTCTTGTTTTCGATGTCATTTAAAGACTCCAGAAACTGGTAACAGTTTGCTCTAAAGGTCTATGGAAAATATTTTCATTGAGTTTCCTAATTGTAAGGGTGTTGTATCATATCGATGAAACTATTAAAATTATTAACAGTTAAATAAAACTTAGGGTGCTACACAAAGTAATGAGGGCTGTAATATTACGTAGCTTAAGAGTGATATTCGCTTACCGAATATTTGAAACTGGTTATACTTATGAGCACGTTCATATTTAAGGCAAGTTTACATACATCACTGCCGTAGATTTTAAATATTTTACTGACTTAAATGAATCATCAGCTGTTCAATGTTCGAAAGATTGCGATCACTATTGGTAGATTAAATTATGATAATCAACCGCTAACATTTAAATGGAAAAATGTCATAAAAATCTTGTTTTGGAAATGGGACACCTTAAATACAAATAAAATAAAGAAATTTTGGGAACTTTCTATGGAAAATGTGTTACCTGAATTGTATCTTATGAATATGACGGTTAGGATATTAATGTGTTCATTGTTTAATCACTAGTAATAAGTTTGCACAATGAAGCTGGTGATTATTCTTATTAAAAAATTCAGAAAATATAATATCAACTAATTCATCACAACACAACGTTTTTATTCATGAAATATACGTATTCCCATTTTTATCTAGATTATATTAATAAAAATATCTTGCTTCGTATGAAAAATTTATAAGTTCGACCTAAAACAACTAAGAGTCATAAAATAATAGTTTTACCCATTATCATTTAAATATTGTCGCCATATTATTCTCGAGCTGTGTTATTAAAATAATTATGATGTTATACATGTATTTTTAAATAAATTATTTTGAATAAAAATGTGTTTTTTTCTTGAGTATATTTGATATTGTCTATGGTATATTTTTTTATAGGAGAGGGGGCAAACGAGCATGCGGCTCACCTGATGGTAAGTGACTACCGCCGCCCATGAACAACCGCAACACCAGGGGAATTGCAGATGCGTTGCCGGCCTTTTAAAAAGGAGTAGGCTCTTTTCTTGAAGGTCCCTAAGTCGTATCGGTCCGGAAAAATCGCTGGTGGTAAACTATTCCACAAGGAAGTTGTGCGAGGAAGAAAACATCTTCTAAATCGCACAGTGGTGGACCGCCAATCATCCAGATGGTGTGGATGGTATCGGGAGTTCTGCCGCGATGTGCGTTCGTGAAATTTGGCGGCTAGGATTAATCCGAACAATTCCTCAGAGCACTCCCCATGGTAAATGCGAAAGAAAATGCTAAGAGATGCAACATCTCTTCGCAGTGCCAATGAGTCGAGCCGATCAGAAAGGACTTGGTCGTCGACGATTCGAGCCGCTCTGCGCTGGATGCGGTCAAGTGGAAGAAGCTGGCACTGGGGAGCCCCAGCCCAGAGATGGGAACAGTATTCCATGTGAGGCCGAACCTGCGCCTTGTAAAGTTGCAGGCGTTGAGCCGGCATGAAATACTGTCCCGCTCTGCTGAGCACGCCAAGCTTTTTAGAGGCCAATTTGGCCTTCGCTTCCAAGTGACCACGAAACTGCACGCTACTCGATATGTCGACGCCGAGGATTCCGATACTGGCTGAGGCAACAAGGGGAGTACCTTGAAACTGAGGAGATACGACAAAGGGGTTCTTTTAGCGGTAAACGCGCAAACTTGTGTCTTCTGAGGATTAAACTGGACTAGATTTAGTCGCCCCCAATCCGAGACTTTGTCCAGCAAAGACTCGACTTCAGACACAAGTTTGTTCCGGTACTCGGTGACGTTTTCCCGAGAAATATTGGCACGGCCGGTGTATAGAGCATC